TTTAAATGGTAAAGAACTGTTTAATGTAGTAGTTATGAGAATCTTCAAAAATGATCAGAATTGTTCAAAACCACTAAAAAAGTGCATCATCTAGATACATTACAGTAATGAGAAAATGTGCTTGAAAACTGTCATAAAAATCACAAAAGCTTAATTTTATTTATGCAAATTACAAATACACACACACACACACACATATATATATATATATATATAAAACCATAAATGTTATACAAAGTCGCATACAAAGGGTCTATACAAAAATAATATCTAACAGATTATTGAATAAGCTATAAAAATATTAACCTTATTACATATTTGTATGTTCTATTATTCCATTAAACTTTTATTGTTATTATTTTATAATGTTAATGAATTTCACAAGGCTAGTGAACATAATTTACAAATGTCCTAATGTACATCCAAGCTTTCCATGACCCGAGCACTTACTAGCTGCCACCGTGGTCCGGATCAGGAGTTCTGCTGTAGTTGATCTTAAACTCAATGTCCGGCACCAGCTGCATTGCACTCTTATAGTACTTGATGGCTGCAAAATCAAAACGGGGAAATTTATACATGCAGCCTTCATGCAATCCATTGTATAAGTCTGATTGTCAAATCAAAACGAATAAATAAAAACCTTCATAAACTGCTCCGCTCTGTTCTTCCTCAACAGCCTTCAGGAACAGCTCTCGGGCCTATGAGCACACATTCACAATCAGTGATGAGACCGGGTCAAGTGAAGGATATAGACATATATGTCTATATCACATCAGCCATTACACATCAGCACTGTTATTTTGGTCATGAAACGATCTGTTCTCAGAGAGCATCTAATGTGTGCAACGGCACCCGCTATGAATATCACAAGCTCACACCTTTTCCTCTTTAGCGATCTCCTGTCTCCTCTTCAGGTCAGCAGCTTTAGGGACGCTTTTCTTTCCACCCGAGCTGGGCTGAAGCTCAGACATCCACTTTGCCCGAAAAGCACTGAGCTCCAACTGAAACATCAAAAATCAACTAGAGAACTCTGTTGATAGGTTCTGTTCATAAGAAATGCAGCATTCCCACACCTTCGGACCAATGAGCTTTCACGGATTTTCCAGTCATTCTTGATTACTGGAATGTTTTAACTCAACAATAAAATGCCTTTCAAGCATTCTTGTACCATCCACCAGATTTTCAGAGAGGAAAATAAAGGTAAAGACTTGATTTGATCCATAATCAATTGATTAAAGAGTAAGGTTCTTCTTTACATAACAGAATTGAGCCTCTCAGAGAGAGAGGAGTTCAATAGTAAGAGGATATGGTGACATTATTTTCCTGTTTAACACTGTATTGTCACAATCTGTACTGTATAAAGCGCTATATAAATAAAGGTGACTTGACTTGGTGACATTGGCCATTAAAGCAGCACTATGTAACTTTTGGGAAGAACACATCCCGCGGAAGAACATTCCAACCGGAGCTACTTCTCTAAGTTTATGTCTCTGGCGATTCACGCAGGTATGTGTTCCTCCGCAGCAGTGACGACCCGACCAGGCTACAATAGTCCAAATATAATAAGCCCTTATTATAAGTGGACCGTAGTGATTCGGAATAAGGCAAAAACACGGTTTGGAAGATGAATTCATGATGTACTCGCTCATTATATACATTTAGCAAATTTTGAACACAGAAAAAGTTACATAGTGCTGCTTTAAGGAAATATTATAAAAAGTTTTTCTTAGAAATAGTGTGCAACAATGAATTATGCACAACACCACCAGAAAGGTACTATAAGGAAATAGTTTTGAAGAGACAGTGGAGCAGATGTTCATTGTCGTATCAGTTATCAATGCTCGGAATTCATAGCTTTAAATGATTATACAGGTGCATCTCAATAAATTAGAATGTCGTGGAAAAGTTCATTTATTTCAGTAATTCAACTCAAATTGTGAAACTCATGTATTAAATAAATTCAATGCACACAGACTGAAGTAGTTTAAGTCTTTGGTTCTTTTAATTGTGATGATTTTGGCTCACATTTAACAAAAACCCACCAATTCACTATCTCAACAAATTAGAATATGGTGACATGCCAATCAGCTAATCAACTCAAAACACCTGCAAAGGTTTCCTGAGCCTTCAAAATGGCCTCTCAGTTTGGTTCACTAGGCTCGTAGTAAGAAAATGTCTTTGAGATTTGCAACAAGAACAAGAAATGTAGGGTGAGACTTGATTTTAGCCAACGAGAGTCCACTGGCTTCGTTCCATAGCAGAACAAAGTGATTTGTGGTGTCTTCTGAAAAGGCAAGTCATTTCAGAAATGTAAATGATCATAATTCATTAAACATTACAAAACATGCTATCCCAAGATGAATTGTGCACAGCAAAATGTATTACATAAGGAGAGCTACAACTCACTTTCACGTCTTAATAAAAATAAATAAGGAGACCAGGTTCACTAACTTGCAGATTAGAATCCTCTGTGTTTTCATCTTGCCCTTCTTCAACAGTGTTTTGGTTGCTTTCAGCCTAGAAACAACACCTATTCAGTCATTTGTATATTAAGTAGGTGAAAATACATACAGACAGTTGAAAAAAAAAAAA